ACGCTAAGTCCGAGTCCGTCGACAATGAATTGAATTCAACGCCAAAAGTCATGTCAAGTGATAGAAAACGTATAGTTTTTGACTTAAATGATGACACCGACACTAATGATAAATCATTTACGACTATGAAACCCATGCATACCTGTGCGCCCCCTCTCACGCCCACCCCCAACAATAAGGCGCCCACTTCTTATGACGATCTCTTTGATTGACTTTTTTAAATGACTGCTATAATTGACTTATTTTTTGAATTGAATGGAAAATATTTGAATGAGTTTTCTTTTACTTGTATTGTATTTTCTAACTCTAAATATATTTTCTTGTTTTTTAATTGCATTTAGGAATTGAATGGATTTCATATTAAAATTTCACTGTAAATACGAGTCATATTCGCATCTAATGAAATATTTTTATAAATATTTGTCATGTTTTTGCTAATTTATTATTATGTGATATGTGGCACTATGTGACCACGACAATATATCAATTTTGTTCACTTGTTTAGCACATTAAACATATTCTCATTTAAAAGGCATTGTTTTATTATTATACAGTACCGTACAGTAAATGGTAAATTACTAGAGTATGGTGTTTGGTTTTACCGTACAGCATATCAACTGTAATTTTTTTGTCACAATTATATATTATGTTAGAAATAATTAATAATAAAAAGATTTTACCATCAATGTATTGTAGTGTTAATGTCCAGTGATCCCTGGTTATAACAAAATTGAAATAATTAGAATTTCCTATACAATGATATACCATGTAATTTAAGTATGTTCTGTTATACAATTGTTGAATACATTATTAATTATAATTTATAATTATTGACACCCAATATATAAAACAATTTTATTAGCATTGCACTGAATTCTGCAGTAGTATTCTTGTTATGAAACATATTTATTTAGTTAACAGAATTACGGTTCATTGACCTCTAAAATAGGAATTCAAGTAAGAAATAAATGTTTTTTGTTTATATGATTATTCTTAACAAAAAAATGTTTGTTTCAAATATATTCAAATTCATACTAAAATCATTTATATTTCACCAGTTAATTGGTTTCATATTATCTGAAAGTATTTATAATTACGAAAACACTGAAATTGTTTGTTTAATCATATTCATAATGATCTACAGATTCTTGTGGTGCTGGCAATTGGATTAAATTCAGGGATGAGAAGTGTTTCCTATTCATCGAGAAGTTGGTCACACAATCGGAGGCCAAAGAGCTGTGCAAAGCAGAAGACATCCGCAATGGGGTTGAGTTGATATCAATCCATTCGGTCGAAGAGCAGGACTTTCTTAACGAATATCTGTTGAGATTCAATGTGGAGGACAGCGTATGGACTGATCTGATGAGAGTAGACGACAAATATCTCTTTCAATACAGCGATGGAGAAGTGCCTCAGTTTGACAACTGGGCCCTCAATAGACCCACCGGTGACCTGAAGAAGAGGTGCGTTCAGATGAGAGGTCCCATCGAATTGAAGGNATATATATAATTTTTTGACCTAAATTCATTAATTATGTATTTCATGTATGGTATTCATTGTCAACAGTTTTTAAAAAATACACTATAACCTTGTTAACTCACATGATTATTACCAAGACCATTTATTTCCCTTGTAATATTTAAAAATAATTACAATAGGTTATTGTTTTTAATAACAAAATAGAATAACTTATAATATAAGTCTTATATTATATAAGTTACCGGTATAAATAATAATATTATATGTAATTGTTTATATTTTTAATTAATGTTAAACCCAGACATTAACTATTAGTAAATAAAAATTCTTAATCTAATAAACTTTAAATAAAATTATTTAATTACAATTCAAATGAATACAGTATTAGTTAACAAAACAATTTATTTAAACTTTCATATAATTTCTGAATCGAGTCTTAATATTCAAATACAAGTGTTTGATTGAAATGACAATTATATACGAAATACTGTATTGAAAGGCATTTATGTAATGATTTAGTCTTTTTTCTTATGATTTTTATCAAAGTCGAAGACCTTATCGTTGGTGAGACCACTCTTCTTAAACAAACGACTGAACATTTGTGTGTATTCTTTGTATTTGGGTTTGGCCTCGAAGTCCAGTTCTCGCACTTCCTTCAGATATTTGGCGAACTCTTGCGGAATATCAGCGCAGAGGACGTCAGGAGAGGTTGACTTCTTCTTCTCGCCAATCAGTTTGTATTTCTGTCGAATAGTGTCCGCCGATACGCCCATCCATGGCAACTGGCCTTTCAGGAGGAATACCCACATATAGCCCAATGCCTCCATATCATCGCGACGGGACTGTTGGACACCGTTATGGTTGTTGATAGACATATAGCGTACGGTTCCGATGACACCCTTTCCTGTCGAAAACGACAAGTGTTTTCCCTCGTCGTCCAAATAGTCTTTACAGAGACCTAAGTCTGTCATATGGACTATCATATAGTCCTTAGTGCCCGACCGGCCGAACAGGAAATTGTCTGGTTTTGTGTCCCTATATATGAGTCCCTTTCCGTGGAAATACTCAAACAGTTCCAGCATTTGGTTCACGAGATAAATGGTTGTCTTGAGACTGAATTTAAGGCCGCATTCCTTGTGTACGTTCTCAATGGAGGGCCCAAACAGATCCATAACCAGTGCGTGAAACTTACCGCACGGACCGAACGTATGAATCTTCGGAATTCCTCTTTGAGGTGCCGTTCCCTCGGCCTTCAGTTTCCTATAGAACGAAAACTCTAAGACCAGCTGTGGTTCAGTGGTCTCCTGAGGCTCCAGTTTGATGGCCACCTCTTCGTTATTCTTGAGGTTTTTTCCTCTATGTATGCGTCCGAACGAACCTAAGAGGACAACCACTCATGAGATATAAGCTGAGAGTCGCCCCTCCCTTCCCACTAACCTTTGGCTATAAACTGGCCGACAATATAGTTATTCCCCACTTTAAGGCCTTCGGGATTGTCTTCAGATCTATCCGACATTTGGTTCAATTATACGAAGAATACAGACTTAGTGTGAATTGAAACCGTTTTATAGATATCTATAGAAGTGAATGATATTTGAATTCATTTAACTTCCCATTGTTTTGTCATTTCACGAGACATTTATCACTATTTGTATGAAATTGAGTTCACAATTGAATTCAACAATTAATAGCATTCTTATATACAGTGGTCCATATAAGCTGGTCTAACCATTTTGTCAAATCATATAATCTAATCCCTTTCCCTACATATCCCGACCAAGGTGTCCAACAAACCAATCATGAACTCCACATCACTGTATTTGTAAGCCGTGTCACTGCGCTCTCATTATTGCACATAAATCCATCGCAAAGACATTACCACCGACTGTCTCACTACAACTACAACTCTGGTTAAACATGGCTGACATACTCAACACACACTAATACCTGAGCTGATCGTCGACGAAGACATAATCCTTGGTATGTGTGAAGATTGTATTGAACATTATATCCTTATTTAATTCCTTTATCCTGGTATTAAAGTTTGATATCTGATCTGTGTATTCACGAAGGGTTGGTATCTTGAGAATGACTAATGCATTGCACATCTCATCCAAACTTTGGAGTTCTTTTAGTAGAGGAAAAGCAACTGATATTTTGTAGGGAATGTCTGTTGAGGGGGTGTTTGATTGATACTATCAATTTGATATACTATCCACTATAAGCAGGGTAATATTATAGATTAAAGTCGGCATTCCTTTTCTAGAAACTTTATTAATAAAGTAATGAAAACATACAGAATATGGAAATGAAAACAAATGACAAAACTGTGAAAACTGATTGGAAATAAATAGAGAAATAATCGTTTATTTGATGCGTTTCCACACATAAATGGCTGTATTTCTAGGCCTCACTTCACCGGCAGATACTTTGAAAGACATATAAAAGTTATCGTCTCCGCCATCAGAACCGGTGTACAAATCTTTACTCCATTTGTCGTTTGGACGCAACTGTTCATTGAAACTACGGGTTGTTGTCTTTTGCTTCACTTGCGACACAACACCTGTAAGTCTGGGCGCACTGTCCTCTTGGATCTCGGAAAAGGGTTTAGAGTTGTTGCCAAACACTCGGAAGAATAATCCGCTGTAATTCTCACTAATGTCTGTCCACTTGACTGTAGGCCAGAGAGCACTGGGCTCTGCCTGTCCGGGCAGTTGCACGTAAACGAAGCCTAAGGGCACTGTCGGATAATATATGGCATTAATTTCAATCCAATGTAACTATGAATAAATACCCGGATTATCAGTAAATTCTCGGATATAGAACTCCGCGGCCGCCATCTCTCTCAACGAGACGTCAGTCTTATTGTTAATTAAATCCAATTTTGAATCAATAAATCTGTTCTTCTCTTGAGACGAATGAAACTCTTCCTCAAAGTAATTGAGTTTCCTTTGAATGAATTCTTCACTCCTTTGCCGGTATTCGGCGAAAGTTTTTGTCAAATAATTGAGTTGTGTTTGTGTTTTGAAGAGTGCCTTCTGGACAGAGATGTGATTCAAATCGACATATTTCTGACACAACACGTGATTCTTCTTATAGCAGACCACGTCTTCCCATTTGCCGCTCGAAAACATCTTATCGTTGGACTCATTGGTCTTATCCTTCAATTCGATGGGACCTCTCATCTGAACGCACCTCTTCTTCAGGTCACCGGTGGGTCTATTGAGGGCCCAGTTGTCAAACTGAGGCACTTCTCCATCGCTGTATTGAAAGAGATATTTGNCCATCAAAATGGACGGATCCAGTGATCGCAAAGTTATTCGTCTGAACGCTAAGTCCGAGTCCGTCGACAATGAATTGAATTCAACGCCAAAAGTCATGTCAAGTGATAGAAAACGTATAGTTTTTGACTTAAATGATGACACCGACACTAATGATAAATCATTTACGACTATCAAATCCACGCATACCTGTGCGCCCCCTCTCACGCCCACCCCCAACAATAAGGCGCCCACTTCTTATGACGACCTCTTTGATTGACTTTTCTAAATGACTGCTATAATTGACTTATTTTTTTAATTGAATGGAAAATATATCAACATTTACTCTAAATATATTTTCTTGTTTTTTAATTGCATTTAGGAATTGAATGGATTTCATATTAAAATTTCACTGTAAATACCAAAGTCATATTCGCATCTAATGAAATATTTTTCTAAATATTTGTGATGTTTTTGCTAATTTATTATTATGTGATATGTGGCACTATGTGACCACGGCAATATATAAATTTTGTTCACTTGTTTAGCACATTAAACATATTCTCATTTAAAATGAATTGTTTTATTATTATACAGTACCGTACAGTAAATGGTAAATTACTAGAGTATGGTGTTTGGTTTTACTGTACAGCATATCAACTGTAAATTTTTTGTGATAATTATATATTATGTTAGAAATAATTAATAATAAAAAGATTTTACCATCAATGCATTGTAGTGTTAATGTCCAGTGTTCCCTGGTTATAACAAAATTGAAATAATTAGAATTTGCTATACAATGATATATATACCATGTAATTAAAGTATGTTCTGTTATCATACAATTGTTGAATACATTTCCGCAAATAATTGAAGCACTATTTTCAGATAAAGTTATACCGGTACAGTATTATTAATTATAATTTATAATTATTGACACCCAATATATAAAACAATTTTATTAGCATTGCACTGAATTCTGCAGTAGTATTCTTGTTATAAAACATATTTATTTAGTTAACAGAATTACGGTTCATTGACCTCTAAAATAGGAATTCAAGTAAGAAATAAATGTTTTTTGTTTATATGATTATTCTTAACAAAAAAATGTTTGTTTCAAATATATTAAAATTCATACTAAAATCATTTATATTTCACCAGTTAATTGGTTTCATATTATCTGAAAGTATTTATAATTACGAAAACACTGAAATTGTTTGTTTAATGATATTCATAATGATCCACAGATTCTTGTGGTGCTGGGAATTGGATTAAATTCAGGGATGAGAAGTGTTTCCTATTCATCGAGAAGTTGGTGACACAATCGGAGGCCAGAGAGCTGTGCAAAGACATCCGCAATGGGGTTGAGTTGATATCAATCCATTCGGTCGAAGAGCAGGACTTTCTTAACGAATATCTGTTGCGATTCAATGTGGAGGACAGCGTATGGACTGATCTGATGAGAGTGCTGCTGTTTATAGAGAAAGTTATGTCGCTACCTCTTCACGGAGTCAAACTGTTGACCCGGGAGTTATCTGGGTGGCCACTGGACTTCTTCTCCACGCAAGTCTACTCTCCAGGGTAGCTTAACTTCCATAAGACCAATGAGTCCAACGATAAGATGTTTTCGAGCGGCAAATGGGAAGATGTGGTCTGCTATAAGAAGAATCACGTGTTGTGTCAGAAATATGTCGATTTGAATCACATCTCTGTCCAGAAGGCACTCTTCAAAACACAAACACAACTCAATTATTTGACAAAAACTTTCGCCGAATACCGGCAAAGGAGTGAAGAATTCATTGAAAGGAAACTCAATTACTTTGAGGAAGAGTTTCATTCGTCTCAAGAGAAGAACAGATTTATTGATTCAAAATTGGATTTAATTAACAATAAGACTGACGTCTCGTTGAGAGAGATGGCGGCCGCGGAGTTCTATATCCGAGAATTTACTGATAATCCGGGTATTTATTCATAGTTACATTGGATTGAAATTAATGCCATATATTATCCGACAGTGCCCTTAGGCTTCGTTTACGTGCAACTGCCCGGACAGGCAGAGCCCAGTGCTCTCTGGCCTACAGTCAAGTGGACAGACATTAGTGAGAATTACAGCGGATTATTCTTCCGAGTGTTTGGCAACAACTCTAAACCCTTTTCCGAGATCCAAGAGGACAGTGCGCCCAGACTTACAGGTGTTGTGTCGCAAGTGAAGCAAAAGACAACAACCCGTAGTTTCAATGAACAGTTGCGTCCATTGCTGTTTACCTCATTTCTAAACATGTGGCCAAGACTACCGCCTCTGCTATTGAAAATATACAGAAAGTTTCATAGACGGCCACTTCACTCCGGATCTTTATGTCGGTAAATACACACCTTTGCGTCCAAATAAACAATTATTTCTCTATTTAAAAGGTTATTCAAAGGTGTCAAAATAGTAAACAAAAGTAGAGGTATAAGACATACAAAAGTAATGAAATAATTATTTCAAAAATCTTTTCCCTACGGCTTAAATTAGCTATTATAATGGTACGAATAAGTGGATAGTATCAATCAAACACCCGTTCAGACTCAAGAAGAATCAAATCAAGTAAATATGACTGAAGAACGCGTGTCTGCGGAACAACTCAACAGACATTCCCTACAAAATATCAGTTGCTTTTCCTCTACTAAAAGAACTCCAAAGTTTGGATGAGATGTGCAATGCATTAGTCATTCTTAAGATACCAACCCTTCGTGATATGTGTCTAGTCTATAGTTTGAAATTATGGTCCTATTTCCTTAATTTACTCCTATATTACAAGTTACGGAAGGAGTGTGTATGGTTCTTAATACAGAAGCAGCTGCTAGTCGAGTCCATTATCACAGTGTTGAGTATGTCAGCCATGTTTAACCAGAGTTGTAGTTGTAGTGAGATAGTCGGTGGTAATGTCTTTGCGATGGATTTATGTGCAATAATGAGAGCGCAGTGACACGGCTTACAAATACAGTGATACAGGAGTTGAGGAGTTCATGATTGGTTTGTTGGACACATTGGTCGGGATATGTAGGGAAAGGGATTAGATTATATGATTTGACAAAATGGTTAGACCAGCTTACCGGTATATAGACCACTGTATAAATTATAAGAATGCTATTAATTGTTGAATTCAATTGTTAACTCAATTTCATACAAATAGTGATAAATGTCTCGTGAAATGACAAAACAATGAGAAGTTAAATGAATTCAAATATCATTCACTGCTATAGATATCTATAAAACGGTTTCAATTCACACAAAGTCTGTATTCTTCGTATAATTGAACCAAATGTTTGACAGATCTGAAGACAATCCTGAAGGCCTTAAAGTGGGGAATAACTATATTGTCGGCCAGTTTATAGCCAAAGGTGAGTGGGAAGGGAGGGGCGACTCTCAGCTTATATCTCATGAGTGGTTGTCCTCTTAGGTTCGTTCGGACGCATACATAGAGGAAAAAACCTCAAGAATAACGAAGAGGTGGCCATCAAACTGGAGCCCCAGGAGACCACTGAACCACAGCTGGTCTTAGAGTTTTCGTTCTATAGGAAACTGAAGGCCGAGGGAACGGCACCTCAAAGAGGAATTCCAAAGATTCATACGTTTGGTCCGTGCGGTAAGTTTCACGCACTGGTTATGGATCTGTTTGGGCCCTCCATTGAGAACGTACACAAGGAATGCGGTCTTAAATTCAGTCTCAAGACAACCATTTATCTCGTGAACCAAATGCTGGAACTGTTTGAGTATTTCCACGGAAAGGGACTCATATATAGGGACACAAAACCAGACAATTTCCTGTTCGGCCGGTCGGGCACTAAGGACTATATGATAGTCCATATGACAGACTTAGGTCTCTGTAAAGACTATTTGGACGACGAGGGAAAACACTTGTCGTTTTCGACAGGAAAGGGTGTCATCGGAACCGTACGCTATATGTCTATCAACAACCATAACGGTGTCCAACAGTGCCGTCGCGATGATATGGAGGCTTTGGGCTATATGTGGGTATTCCTCCTGAAAGGCCAGTTGCCATGGATGGGTGTGTCGGCGGACACTACTCGACAGAAATACAAACTGATTGGCGAGAAGAAGAAGTCAACCTCTCCTGACGTCCTCTGCGCTGATATTCCGCAAGAGTTCGCCAAATATCTGAAGGAAGTGCGAGAACTGGACTTCGAGGCCAAACCCAAATACAAAGAATACACACAAATGTTCAGTCGTTTGTTTAAGAAGAGTGGTCTCACCAACGATAAGGTCTTCGACTTTGATAAAAATCATAAGAAAAAAGACTAAATCATTACATAAATGCCTTTCAATACAGTATTTCGTATATAATTGTCATTTCAATCAAACACTTGTATTTGAATATTAAGACTCGATTCAGAAATTATATGAAAGTTTAAATAAATTGTTTTGTTAACTAATACTGTATTCATTTGAATTGTAATTAAATAATTTTATTTAAAGTTTATTAGATTAAGAATTTTTATTTACTAATAGTTAATGTCTGGGTTTAACATTAATTAAAAATATAAACAATTACATATAATATTATTATTTATACCGGTAACTTATATAATATAAGACTTATATTATAAGTTATTCTATTTTGTTATTAAAAACAATAACCTATTGTAATTATTTTTAAATATTACAAGGGAAATAAATGGTCTTGGTAATAATCATGTGAGTTAACAAGGTTATAGTGTATTTTTTAAAAACTGTTGACAATGAATACCATACATGAAATACATAATTAATGAATTTAGGTCAAAAAATTATATATATTTCTTGATAATCTGACAATTGTTTTCACAGATAATTTAAATTCAGTCCAAATTTTTAAAAGGTTTATAAAAATGATTAAAATGGTAGCAATTATGGCTCTATTACTAGCTATCACTTCAGTTATAGCCAACGAAAACTATGGCATATTTGGCGGACAAGAAGGTGCGAGTGGTGACCATAATGATGGACAGGAAGGTTCAGATGGTGGCACACATTCAATGGGTGAAGTGACCTGTGGTTTTGAGTGTCTCAAGTATCACGCCTGCAAATTCACCATTTTCTCCACAAATCAGTGCAGTTTCCCAAAGAATTGCAATTGTGATGTGGTTGGCAAATAAATTGTTTTATGTTTGTTATCTTATATTAATGAAAATTACTGTGTTGTATTTAATACAAATAAAATTTTATCATTTAAATTTTGCCTAAATTTAGTTTATTATAAAATTTTTTATATATAAGACTTATTAGCAGAATATAATTTTAAATGATTCATATATTATTTATATATAAACCCTAATTAAACTACAGATCAATAAACTCAATAAAAGAATTTTCGAAAATATATGTCAAATGAAAAGAATTATCAAATATCAAGTGTTTTCATGACTTATAATCAGATTTTGGGTTCAATAAATGCATTTTAAAAGTGTTAACATGAATATAAAAAACACATTTTGGGCTTAATTTAGGAAATATTCAAAACAATCAATTGTATAAATAGTGGTTTAATTGTACAGAAAATTCAATTCGAAGGCAAAAATTCTTGTGAATAAAAGTGTTAACATGAATATAAAAAACACATTTTGGGCTTAATTTAGGAAATATTCAAAACAATCAATTGTATAAATAGTGGTTTAATTGTACAGAAAATTCAATTCGAGGCAAAAATTCTTGTGAAACAATAAGAAGTTAGAAAAAAACGTAAGTCTCATAACCTAATGGTTAAGCAAGGTTAGTTATAAATGAAACTAAATTATGACTCTGTTTTAGTTGCACAAAATGAACAGACGATTACTTGTCGTGGTTTGTGTGGTACTGGTGGCCGCTATAATGGAGGTGTCGGCCGACGGGCCCCTCAATGAGATTAGTTGCGGTATGGAGTGCATGAAATACCAGTCCTGCAAGTTCTCCATCCTGGCCAAGAATGAATGCGCCCAACCCAAGGGATGCAACTGTGCCCTCATCGGCAAAAAGAAATAAGGACTCCCCCTGATATTCATTGATTCATTTTAGTTTATATTTATTTATTATTTATAACAAATTCTCCGATTTATTAGTTTATTTTTGTGTAATAAATGGCTATTGAATAAAAATTTATTTAGTAAACCTTTTTTGTTAATCAATTTGTCAGTATACTTTGGTACACATAAACGAAATAGTCACTTTCACAATTTGTTTATTTTACAATGATAATTCAAAGTGTTAAGAGAACTTTAAATTTATTTTAAATAAGTATTTAATTTAAATTGTTTAATCAATATACATTACATTATAATCATATTCTATATTATCAATGCCAGGTAAATTTTAAAATACGTAAATTATTTAAAATGTCATAATTTAAATTTTTTATCAACATTATAATTAAGATCTTATAGATTATATTTAATACTGTATATGTCACATATTATTTTAATTAATTGCAAACAATTGACTAAATTTAATATTTTTGATTATTATAGATATGAAATAACTTAGATTAAATAATTTAGATTAAAGTCCATATATCCCACAAAATATTTGAAGTTTAATAAAATTATGGAATATTTTTATGCCGTTATAAAAGGGATTAAACAAATGGATTAGTTGTAGAAATTAATGGGAACACAATCAGTACACTCGCACCACTACTTATGTCAAATCGTTTCAATAAACAAAATAATTCAACACTTTTTTTGTTAGCTTATAATAAATTGTAACCTAAAATCAAATGTGTTTCAGCTCTAGGAATGGCTACCATTGGAATCAAATTAATAGCGATTTCTATCGCTATAAACAGCCGTGAGTTCAGACACGACACCCTCGTGTCCCGGGAGTACTGGTTCACTGCCTATGACTATGTGGTGGTGGGCGGCGGCACCGCCGGCAGTGTTGTGGCCGCACGACTGGCCGACGACATCACCAAAACGGTGCTCGTCCTCGAGGCCGGCCCCTCACAGAACTCCACCACTGATATACCTGGTCTGTCACCCCATTAGGCTCAGGGATCATTACTTATTACCAATTGATTTATGTTTAATAGCTTTGAGACCATCGCTAATGAGTTCAGAAATTGATTGGAACTACGAAATAGTGCCACAAAAGTATGCATATTATGCCAGAAAGGAGGCTCAGATACCGGTACCGGCCGGGCGTGTGTTCGGTGGGACGTCAACGTTAAGTTACCTAAACTACTATCGCGAGAGTCCCGAGTATTTTGATCTCTGGAGCCAATCGTATGGCATAAAGAACTGGTCCAACAGTGATGTGCTGCCATTCTTTCAGAAGTCTGAAAACAATTTGGACACAATTCTCGTGCAAATGCGAGATAATAATCATCGAACAGGAGGTCCAATGGCTGTGTCCACTGTAAACCCGGACATTATTTTGAGAAAATATCTGATGGCAGCCGAGAAACTGGGATTCAATGAGACACTACCCGATGGGAGGCAACCGTTTGGAGTGTCAGTAATGCAGAGAATGATCACTAAAGAAGCCATCGCTTTGTCCACTGCTTCGGCATATCTCGAGTCCAAAGTCCGCCCAAATCTCAATACCTTCGGCAACGCATTCGTCACTAAAATCATGTTTGACTCCAAGAATCAGGCGATTGGAGTAAAGTTTCAAAAGGAGGGCAGCTTTTGGATCGTTAAGGCGCGCAAAGAGATCATTGTATCTGCCGGTGCTGTGGGTCAGTCCCATTTTTCTAATGTTTTGCTTAAAATTATAATTATAGTCCAATTGAATGACAGGTTCGGCACAACTGTTGCTGTTGTCAGGAATCGGACCCAAAGAGCATTTGAATGAATTGCAAATCCCTGTCATATCTAACCTGAATGTGGGCACAAATGTCAAACACACGGTGTCTGTTGATCTCAATTATGATATTAGGGATCAAAAGTCGATTGAAAGGCCTCTCGTAAACACAGAGTCTGAATACGAGTACTACACCGAACATACCGGTCCACTCACTTATATTGCTTCTGCTGTTCAATGTTTTAAGGAAATACAATACAACAGCACAGGGCTCAGCAATGGATGTGTTTTACCTCACATTGACTTTATTGACGACAAAATTGACAAATTTCTTGACAAGACTTACCTAAGGAATGAATGGGAAGACTATTATAGAGCATATTTAGGTCACTCTGTACTCAAGCTAAAGGCAATCCTGAGAAGAGCCAAAAGCACCGGTACCTTAAAACTCGAGTCAAACAACGCTTTCGTTAAACCACTGATAGATCCACGAGTTTTCAGCGATCAGTCAGATGTCGACGATTTGGTGGAGACATTGAAGCAATCGTTTAGTATATATCACTCGTCATATATGTCTGACTATATCGACCCTTTTAATAATCCCGTTCCCGGGTGTCAGCCCTGCAATTACGACAAGTACTGCGATTCATACCTGCGATGCATTGTGTATACGCTGACAGACTATCTATATTTGGTCGGCACCTGTCGTATGGGAGGCGCCAATGACTCGGACGCAGTGGTCGACGAAAAGTTTCGGGTGAAAGGCGTGACTGGACTTCGGGTGATCGACGCGTCTGTACTACCGGTGCCCACAGAACAGGCGGTCGCTATCGTTGTTATGTTAGCCGAAAGAGGCGTTCAGTTCATTGAAGAGGACTACAAGAATCCGCTAAAACTCCCGGAATTTAAACTTAATTTCACACAATTTAATTTTCCCATTAATTTAACCAGATTTTTACCCCAAAGAATAATTCAATGAATTATATTTTATAACCAGTTGTGAGTATTTATTTGTATTAATTTAGATTTTTGTTAAGAATTATTCATTAAATTGTTTATTGAATTAAAGTGTCTGGTACAGTTATTTAAATTTCCGTTTAGTTTTCCGATTAAATCCAATTAGGTGGTCCAGGGACATCTTTTATGACTGTGAAATCGTCCACTACTTGCCCTTTCTATTATAAAAATAATACTAAAATTATAATTTATACTAACATTTAATTGTTTCAAACCTTATCGTCAGATATTTGCTTGATATTGACGTGAGTTTTATTTAATACAGTCATTACACTGTATCCATAATCAGTATTATTAACAGCAATATAGTATCCATGATCATTAATCTCAGTTTGTTTCATAAAACATCCCTATTAACACATTGCAAATGCCAAAATTGACAGCACATATGATACAAAAGTTTTATAAGTTATTTAACATACAGCAGATCCAGAAATGATATGTACAGGTGCTTTTGGATTGGTATAGGGATCCGATTGAGTGTCATTGAATACAGTGTTGTTATATATGGGCCAAAGTCTTGCGTATATGTGTTCGTGAGCCCAGAATTGAATGTCGACCCCATGTCTGTAAAATAGATCTTCCAAACCATACAAACGAC